ATATATATAGATTATAGTCCTACACTAAATAAGAGGAAATGAATCCCTATGTCACGTGATAAATTGAAATCGCTGCACCGAAAGTTAGTTTGCGTGTGTATCCGTGATAGGCCTTATTACACTACAGAAATTTTTACTTTATATTCATTAAAAATTAATAATTAACACAAAAGATCTTGGAAATGACCCGAGTCCTCGTTTAACATGAGTTTGCTTATTTTTTATTTGCTTCTTTATTTTTTCTCTTACTCAGTTCGTAACTCGATTGAATTCGAAATTTTGAAAAAGATTGCAACATCATAAATGTAAACTTCTTTGATTGGAATTGATCCTATTAGATAATTAATATATTTTTGTATATATTTCAAGAGAATATTGTTCTTTCGTACGAAATTATAGATATGCATTCTAAATTCAATGACAATGTTATTTATGATATGAATTTCGTATTATATTTAACGTTTAATTTTGGCATTTATCCAAATTAATTGTTGAAATAGACAAAATACGAGAATAGACGATAATAAAAAGAAAGAAAGAGAGAGAAATATACATCTCTTTGAAGATAATTATTTTCTGCGACAAAAAATAACGAGTAAGATATCTGCATATGGCACACGAGTTGTTGATTGGTTAGTATTATTTTTTATAAGTTTCTCTCAATGCATTATGTGATTTACGATTTAAGTTTTATTCCTTTAATCTCGGCTTCAATCGCGAAACAGATGTGCTGATTATTTAATGTTTTAACGAATAGATCATACGAGAATTAAGATAACGCTACTTTAATTGTATGACTTTGTAAAGGTCGAAAATCTTTAAAACATATAGTGTCATTGTTAGCCCTATAAAGATACATACATAGTGTAAATGAAATACATATTATCTAATGACAGGATAGATTATTTTTTAACAATCTTTATTAATAATAATAATAATCTTTTACACACACATGAATATATTATTTATTTCATTATTATATAATTTTAAATTACATTTTAGTAATGGGAATAAAATAAATTATGAAATAAGTTTTTCATTTATTATTTGTTTAATTTATTATTATTATTTTTTATTAATATGCAAGACATAGTATATCCCTGAAATTTTATCGAGAATGTAAGAGAAATTCTCCTCAAATGAAGAAATTGTTTTTATCTTTTTTGAGAGAGAGAAAGTTGTACTTTGGTTGATCTTTTTTTTTCTTTGATCAATATTGTTTTTTAATTTTACATACATTTGTTTAAAATGTTGAAATTACGTTGAATTTATCTATAAATAAATTTATACATATTTCGAAAAGAGCATTAAATTTAATTTTTCATCGATCGACAAGTGTATTATTTATTGTTTCTATAGTTATTTTATATGTAGAGGTTGTGTCATTAAAATCATAGAATTACAGTGAATCCAATTAAATTTGTTGTTTGCTCCACTAAAATTTATAATGGTTTAATTGTGATTGAATGATATATAATCAAACTTATAAATTTATAAATTTATTAATATATATTTCAAATAGTACCTACACGTTATATATTTTATTTAAAACAACAGCTCTCTCTCTATATATATATATATATTAACGCGGGCATCTAGCAACATTTGAATATGTTACCATAAGCACACGTCGGAGGTAGGGGAAGTATAAGAATGCTATTGATACTAGCTTTTTGAAAAAATGAAATAATAATAATTTAAAAATTATAAACTTTTCTTGATCATTGTATCATTAATCGTATAATATTATCGTAAATATTTTCGTCTAAATAGAATTCTCTTTAATTTCGTGATTTTTTTATTATTGTACAGCTAGTAATTTTGTTTTCAAATGATATTAATTAGAATATTTTTTTATTAAACATTTTTGTAAATGTTGTACAATATCTGTAATATATTTTTGTTTAAGTAACAATAATCCTTTATTAAAAGAGTCCACTTAAAAATATGTAATTTTAGGAACCACAAGTATGTTTGAACATAAAATATTACACGACATAGAAATTAATTAATATTAATTACATTTGTATTTTTCTCATGTAAAATATATTTCTTTTTTTCCTTCTTGCATATATTATAAATTAAATATTAAAAATATCATCCGATCTACGTAATAGTAATGGAGGTTAAGCCATTGATGCCAGATAATATAGGATATTTTTCGCTCATGCGCAGTAAGGCGACGATGACGTTCGTCCACACCCTCGTATTTATCCACGAACAACACTTTTACCTTGGGCAACCTTAAAGTAGCTATTTGATATAATTACTTTCTTGTAATTGTTAGAATTGATAAAAAAAGATTCTATAAATTTAATGTCGATAAAATCTTTTCATATTCTTTAGTTTCCGTTTGAAGAATTCCATTAAAAAATATTTTTTTATGAAAGAGCACGTGTAATTTCATTATAATTTTTTTTTTTTTCATTTGATATTAATGATTTTTTTTTTCCTAATCAATTTTGTACATATCATATTCTGATTTTATTTCCTACGTCTATACAATTCTACACATATTTATGTAATTACGTGTGTAGATTTTATTTCCCAGTAATTATATATATATATATATTTTTTATAAGACTAAGCATATCGAGTAAGATCTTCAACCACGCATGCGCCAAAAAGCTCTGCTCGGGTCAAATCCCTGGATCTAGTAAGAGTGGAAACACTGAGCTTTGCTTGTTGCGCCATCTACAGTGTTCTTGAATATGTGGTATGCAACGTGGCGCCTAGAGCAAACTATTTAAGATCAACCCTTGTATAGTTTAATAAATACAAATATTTGATTCCTTGTAAATCTCTATATCTTTCTAAATATGATATATGCGCTCGTACATTATGAAAAAAAGCATCACGATTTAATACAAATTATTGTATCATGTGTAATGAAAATACATAAATTTATATAAATTATTCTATTTTTATATTTGACGTACAGTGTGTAAAAATGTGTGGCAATAGTTAAATATCATGAATAGTCACATACAATTCATAAAGTTAAAAAAAAAGAATATTAAACTAGTAATATACAAGGTTAATTGTGGTAATCGAGCATAGCTTAGCAGCAATTGGCTATATAAAAAAAGAACTTGTGAATGCTGCTTGTTGTTGCGTACTCTATGTGCGTATTCGTCCATGCCTACATGTTCCTTAACTGATCGCCATAATGAAAACATTTATCTGTCGTCGCTGTCGTTATCCGTCGTATATGTGTTCCGTCCTCGTATGTGTAGTCCCCTCTCTCTTTCTCTCTCTCTTTCTCCCTCTTTTATTTCGAAATTATATCGAACAATTGAATAACAAAGTTACAAATATTTAGCAAGGCTTCATCATTACAGTTCTCGGTGGGTGAAATAAAATGATTACGTGCTAAAACTCTCAGCAGAGTGCGCGGAGATTCGTCAGGCGACTTACAACCGACAATTTCTTGACGGACTCTTTTTTGTTGCACGATATTTAAGCACGATACGGATATACACGAAGCGTTTACTTAAATGCTTGGAACAAACTTCTACTCCATGTTGTACGTTTCTTGCAACACGACTACGTGTTGGAAAGTGAGTAATAGTTACACTCACTATTTTCACGCCTTTTGTTAAAGGTCGTATTGCGTCGAGAGAAAATCAGCTTATCAAGATGACGTAGTTAAAATTTTCACGAATCCTTTAAACCCTTTCTTATTTTGCTTTATATCTGTGCGTCTTTTGTGTTTGTCCTTTTTTTTTCTTTTTCTTTTTCTCTTTCTCTTTTTTGACATATAATTTACATACATGTATATATGTAATATATATATATACATATATATATATATATAGTGAATTTATGAGAAATTTTATCAGTCATTTTTCTGAAAGCAAATTTTCTTTATTGGCTACTCAATATAATGCTTCTAAGAGTTAAAGGAAATGTATATTTAACTTTATAAATTTTTATTAATTCATTTATTTTAATTTTATTAGTTGATTTATAAATAAAAATGCATGTGTTTTTGTAATCTTTTTTTTATTTTTTATGGCTGTACTTAAGATTTTAATATCTTTTAATAAAGTGAAGATTTTTACATGCTATTTTAAGGTTATAATCTTTCTGACTGTTTAGTGTTAATATTTTTTTAATATTTTCGAAAACTTTATGACAAACATTCTCCTATACAATCTAATGATAAGGTTATTACTTTGAAATAATTTTTAATAAAAATATAATCATTATACAATACTGATGAAATATATCTTAATAATTTCATTTCTTTGTAATAGGTGACTACATGGTGACACGCGGTCGTAGACGTGCGGTCGGCAAGAAAGCTGTGGCAGAAAACAGTTAGTTATCTTGTGCCAAGGTGACTATACCTGTTCACTGTTAATAAAGACAGTGATTTCAAATATCATAAAAGAAAAGTCAATTTCACTGGCACAGAACTATTGTAACAAGAAGTCACAATGGAACGTGAATCTAATCCAATGCAAGCTTTATGTCGCAGCGGTTGTGGATTTTATGGTTCGCCAGCGACTGATGGACTATGTTCTCTTTGCTATAAGGAAAATTTGAAAAAGAAACAACAACCACCAGTATCGGCTGCAACAGTTCCAACCTCACAGACCGTTTCTGGTAACGCTGGCACGTTGCAAAGCGGTTTTGGCAGTCCTGCAGTTACAGGAACCACAGCCCAACCAACCATTCCTACTATACCTCAATCAACGACAGATCTACCCAATCCTAAAGAAGTATGTTATTACATGTGATTATGTATATTGAATCGATGTACTTGTAATAATAAGATGCTAAATTCTATGTTTAACCCCTTGACCTACAATATTGTGTAAGAGTTATAATACACTTTACGGTTTAAACAAGAAATATGAATACGATTCATGGTGAATCTTACAGGAAGAATATAAGAAATATGAAATATATCAATAACTTTGATATATAACTCCACGCATAAAATAATAGTACAAGGGGTTAAATGTTATACTTGAAATTTTTAGTGTGTCTTGATATTTGATTTCCTTATATTATATATTTAGATTAGCAGGGAAGATCAAGACAGTGAAGTAGGAGTAAGCGTTACAGTAGCTGAAGGTTCAGTGAGTAGTGGTGATACAGATGAGTGCTTCGATGGCAAAGAGACTGATAAAGAATCTAAGAAGAAGAAAAATCGTTGTGCTGTTTGTCGCAAAAAAGTTGGATTAACTGGTACGATGTATTATTTATATTGATTACTTATGAAGGATAGTTAAAACTTTTAATTTTAAAAATTTTTTTATATTATATATCACGTTCAGTATCATTTAAAACTTTTTATTATATTTATAGGATTTGAGTGTCGTTGCGGGGGACTATTCTGCTCCGTGCATCGATACAGTGATAAGCACGACTGCAAATTTGATTATAGAGAAATGGGCGCCCAAGAGATACGGCGTAATAATCCAGTTGTTGTTGGTGAAAAAGTGCAAAAAATTTGAACTATTTAGTGTGTAGATCGTTGGGAATGGATATATAACTATATAAACAAACAAAATATAAAACCCAGAAGAAACAAGATAAATTATCTGGCAGCTGATTGTGTGTTTAGGAGTGAAATATACATGTATGAATGATACAGAGTGGAAGGGGTGCAAAAAAAATTAATTTCAGATAGAAAATTGAAAGGGAGTAGAGAAATAGAACATCAGACAGCAAACGATTTGTTTGATTGCCAATTAGAATGAGTGTGTGAGTGTGAATGTTTCAAAATTGGACATCAGTGCCATGTCAGATTGTCATCTAGCGAGAGTTTTAACTGAGAATATATCTGGTTACTAACTGCTGCCAGCTTACTATTACTATTACCTATTATTATCTTTATGATTATTACGATTTATTATTATTCTATATTATGTTTATTATTAATTTACTTAAATGCAAAAATTCGCGGATAAAGTTTGTTTTTAAGAAGATCCAGAATTTTTGGTGCAGTCAGTCAAGTCGGCAATTATGAAAATTATCTCGTTAGCAATTTGGGTTTAATCGCAAATTTTATATATTGCTGTTTTGTTTCTATATCAAGAAGGGAATGTTGCTTAGATAATGGCTGATTTGATGGGTGATCACAATTTAGGTTAATAATTAGTCTAATAATTATTAAGTATATTAGTCTATTGATTCATAAATAATGCAATGAAGTATAAGTAGTATTGTGTGTTTATGTGCAACTTCAAGTGAATATAACCGGCATTATTACTCATTAAATATGTTTCAATCTATAATGCAAATCAATTATTTACACTATCGCAGCAATTCTTTTAAAGAAAAACCCTTCTATGAATATATTTATTCCTAGTTTTTTTTCTCCGCGAGTATTGAATCATAGAGTATAAATATTAGAACTACTTAAACAAATTAATTAGTTTTTTGTTTTAATTTTATTTCATTTCTCTCTTTTTTTGTTTTCCTCTTTGTGAGTTTTTTATAGAGTAGCTGTGCAAGGTATTCCGGTTCTGCATTACAGTGTTTCAAAACTGAATAATAACATTTCTTTAGATGCCAGATATTAAATTAAAAAAAAAAAAAAAGAGAGAGAATAGCTGGCATAAAAACATGATCAGCATTAGTAAATCTAAAAGATATATGAACATTGTAGAGAAGGCTACTGTCACACATGGTGATCATTGTGTATGTTTCTAAAGGACTTTGTTAAAAACATAATTAATCTTCATCTCTACGTTATAATCTTTAAATATTGTTCTCATTATAAGATTTATGTTAAAATGGTGCTATGAGACCGTTCTTTATGTATTTTCTTGCAAAGTCAACTGCAATACAATGAAGGGAATTATTATGAACTTTGTGTTCGTAATAAGTTTATTCCTTATAATAAATTCATAAGCATCTTAAATCAATGAAATTATGAATAATAATTGCTGGGTTTTATTAAAAAAAAAAAAAAAAAAAATTAATGCGATTAAAAAAAGGGAAGTAACAGATACTTTTATGTTATATCTATATCATTTTTGGACAAAGCGTTGTCAAGACTGTGCTGCCATATATATACATATATACGTACTTCTTTATTATATTATTAAAATACTCTCAACGAAAGCATTTTTTGATTTGTTATTAATGCTAATAAGCTTTAAACATTGATAAATATTGCAGAGAAAGATAAATAATTATTTTTTTCAGAGATATATAAATATATAATTTATTTTGTAAACAAAATTAGTTTCTTCTGTACATTAACAGCAACGATTACGAATTGTTTGCTTCATATTATCTCAAAGAGATTCTTATTAATATATCTTTATGATCAATAATTTTAAACAACTTATAATTTAAAATGAGATCTCTTAAATATATATATATGCGTGGCTGTAATGCAAAATGACATCATAAGTCACGTTAAACAAAATAATAATAATAATAATAAATAAATAAACTAATACATTACGTAATTTTTTAAAATATATTCTTCATGGGGTAATATTTCCATAATACCTGATTAAAATAAATAAACAATGTAAAAAAAATTAAATATGTGTATTAATGGTATTAATTTTATAATAGTTTCATGATGTGTTGATATGAAAAATAATGAACACCTTATAATTTTATATTACCTTATTGTAAAAAAAGTTTAAAATGAGAATAAAATCAATTTTAAATACTTGTTTTTTTAAAACATTGTGATATAATAGTTCGAAAAACATAACGAGCTATATAAAAATTAATGCCTATTATAAGAATTAATTTTTTTTTTCTTATATATATATTTATATATATACATATTCCAATTCAAATATTTATTTACTTAAAGTTATGTTGAGTTGAACTTAAAAAAAATGTAAATCATAAAAGTTAATATTCCTCTTATATATATATAATTGTCTAAAAATTATCTTAAATTATACGGACGAGAGTCATTTTATATTATGGCCACCAAATAATAATGTTTTAAACAATCAAATATGTTTACTATTGAGAGTACAGAAAATTTCTAATATTACTTCCTTTTTGTCTTTAATACAAGAAATATTTTATTAGATGAGTTCATTAATATTATTAATTTATAAACAACTTTACTTTATTTTGTTTTCCTTTTTCATTTTTTTTGGCATTATAAATAACTAAGCGCGCAGTCATATCAATGTAAAACAATTCATTCGAATGCTTTATAACATATGGGCATACATTATACTTAATAAATATTTAATATAGTATACGTGTAGGAGAACATGGCATAATATAAATAAGTTTTAAATCTTTTTTCTCTTTATTTTATTTTATTTTTTCTTCGATATATAATTTAGAGAAAATTTTTAAAGATACTTAACTTTATACTTAACTTTTGCCGACTCTATGTAGACAATATCGAATTTAATTACTGTCAGAGCTTAATCTTTTTTAAATGCACTATTAGATATGTTGATGACAAAAAAAGAACACAAATTTGTATAGAAAATAACGCACACATTGCAAATATTGTTCTATGGTTGCCTTCAGGCCTTCATCCTATTTTAGGCATAGCATATTTTTCTAATGTATATTGCAATATCGGAATCATCTTGCCTAGCGAAAGCAACCAAGTTTAAAAAAGAAAAGATTAAAAAAAGAAGAAAAAGGAATGAATCATGGTAGCATGTTTATTAAACGTGCTACATATAAATAAATAAATAAATAAATAAATAATTAAATGAATGAATGATTGATTGATCATTGGATAAATGGATGGGTAAAAACAAAATATATCTACTTGGTAACGATGATCATACTCGACTGGTTGCATTAAATCATAATGATGCTTGTAATTATTACGATTGATATTAGTATATTTAAGTAATTAAACTTCACATTAACTTAAATATATTATATGATTAAATTACCACCCTTTGGTATATATATATATATTTTAGATTTTAGGTTCACGTGATTTAAATATATATATATTTTTTAAATATATATTATATATTTAATATATATATATATTGTATAGCCACACCAGATGCCACAGTCTAAAAGAACTTGAACTGTGATTTATACAGTCTAGCTCCTCTCCTTTTCTCACCTTATTCTTCCCCAAAAATAACATTTCTTACAATTTCTTAGATATTTATATAACTATAGTGGACTATATATATTTATGTATATTTAAATACAAAAATATATCTATATATAAATCTATCGGCCCCACGAACCCCCTCTTCAGCCCTCTTACATTCATCAGGAGTGATTTTATTTTCTAATGACAATTCCAAATTTGTAGATATAAAATGTTTAAATGTATGCAATTTAAAAGATTTTTTAAAAAGGAAAAAGGGAAGAAAGAAAATAAAATTATTATTTTATAGATTACAGAGTAAAGGTATGTTATGCTAAAAAAAGCACAATTTTCGCTTTCATTATTATTTCGTTCTTATTAATATTTATCCTATCACATAATTAATTAGCAATAAGTCGTTTATTTGAACGATTATTGTAATTTTGATAATATAGGGAATTTCATTAGATATCTTCTAATGATTTTCTTAAAGTAACTAATGTAAGACACATTAAATATCATTCTTTTTATCTTTATACATATCTGGTTACGCTAATATTGCTAGTGTAAAATATAAGATGCACGCATTCGCATGATGGTAAGTATTATCAACTTCCCTTGCATGTAATAATTTTAAATAAAATTTTAAAACATTACATTTCATTATACATGAAATAAAAATAAACTATTATGTATGATGGTGTTATATAAATTGTTTATTTACTGCGATATTTATCAATTAACATTTGAAGAACATAAGTGAATAATTTTTTAAAATTTATATATGTGTATCTATTTTTATCAATGATCAAGAAATTATTAAATAAAATTAGTTTTTGTTAAAAATAAAATCAATAAATTATTCTAAATTGTTGAACTTTTAACGACAATAATAATAATAAGAAAAACAAAAAATCATACAGAATCCAAGCTAATTATATTTGTTTATCATTTAATATTAAAACATTTAATTATTGAATCTGACAATCACGAATTAAAATTAATAATAATTTCTTTTATTTCATTTCTATATTTATTTCCAATAACAAATTGATACGTCAAAATAAATATTAAAATTCGTGCGTAAATATATATAGTATTTAGGTATTATGTGTTTGCAAGTGTCACTAATATAACCTATGATCAAATGTGCGCATGCGCAAGATGAGTTTTTGATGCGCATGTGCAAGTCTCCGTATTGGAGGGGCGTAGAAAGGAGGCCATATTGTACAGTTAAATTGAAAGAACGAAAATAATTATATCAGCGTGAAGTGGGCACTATTTATCGTAATATTTTTATCTCCTGTCTTTCAACGAACGTTAGTTGAAATTCACAGTTACAAAACAAGTAAGAGGAGCCAATCCGTGGGCTCCTGATATTTTATACATAAATATATTTTAGTAGTGTATTTCGATCGAGAGAGGCATCGTCGGTCTATATTACAGGAGTTTGTTGCTGCAAGCGAAATGGGCACTCGAGATGACGAATATGACTATTTATTTAAAGGTAAAATAAATTTTTTCCTTAATCTATCATTGTTGTTAAAATAATATATATTTGTTTTTATTCCTAAAATATATCTTTCTCGTATACTGGGATAAGATATTAAGTTTAAGTATATAGCAAATCTTTAATGTCGAATCGAACGTTACTCACGCTGACGTTCGCTCTATGGGCACGAATGACTGTTAGGATTTTCGTAGAATGTGATTGACGTGTGATGACATCAGATGATATTTCTCTTAGAGTTTGACACAACTATCATTTTAATCTTAAATGTCAAATTATGGCTAACGTTTTTTTCAAATTCGAGTATTTAGTATATCATATTAGTATACAATATATGTATATTGAAATAGGATGTTGCTTCTTTTTATATTCTTCTTCAACTCATCAATATATATTATAACGGGATATTTCCCTATTCTTCTAACATTAGCATAACTATAACAGTGTGGGTGAAAATTTTACTTCATTGTGTGTAGGAGTTAATACAAAGTATTTTTCCCTTTCTTTCTTTTTCTCTCTCTTTCTCTTTCTTTTTCTTTATTGTACATGCATGTGCGCGCGCGTGAATAAAGATGACCAACGTATACATACATAAGTGACATTTTAAACATAATATTCCTGTATCTACACAGATTTAATATCTCAGAAGAAAAAATAAAGAAAAATTCCCATTAAACTCATGGAGAAATAAAGCATTAATATAATTTTAATTACTTTTATATTATAATATTATTTCTAGAATGTATGGAACTTTACAATGAAATAAATAATAGAAATAAAAGGTTTCTAAATAAATAATAGATTTTTTCTCATAGTATTTGTTGTATTAATCTGTTATATAAATTATCTTCATCAAAAGAAAAGATTTTGTGTATGTGTTAAGTTTCTATTGTTTCTATCTATACTATAGCTTTTCTTATAGCATTTATCAAAGTTCTTTACAGTTTGTATCTATCTTTCATTGTTTATTATTACAGTTGTCCTTATTGGTGATTCCGGAGTAGGAAAAAGTAACCTACTATCTCGTTTCACGCGTAATGAGTTTAATTTGGAATCAAAGTCTACTATAGGTGTTGAATTTGCAACACGTAGTATACAAGTAGATGGTAAAACTATTAAAGCTCAAATTTGGGATACAGCTGGACAAGAACGTTATCGAGCTATTACCTCTGCGTAAGTTTCTTTAAAAAAATAATAATTTTAGATGTATAATTACATATCTGATAACATTTGTAGTATCTTGTTGCACATAATTAATTTATTCTCATTTATCGTTAGATATTATCGGGGTGCAGTTGGAGCATTGTTGGTATATGATATTGCAAAACATTTGACATATGAAAATGTTGAAAGATGGTTACGAGAATTACGGGACCACGCCGATCAAAATATTGTGATCATGTTAGTGGGAAACAAATCAGATTTAAGGCATTTACGTGCAGTTCCAACTGATGAGGCTAAAGCATTTGCAGAGAGAAATGGTCTTTCATTTATTGAAACCTCTGCTTTAGATTCTACCAATGTTGAAACAGCGTTCCAAAATATATTAACAGGTAAATTAATATTGAACAAATAATTTAGACTAAATATTCATTTAATTGAAATATTTCTGCTATATATACAAATATTATAGTGTGAATAATTTGAAATAATTTAAATTCTAATAGTTAAAAACATATTCGTGCATTTATTATACAAGTAAAAAATAATTATTATAATTTTTGTATCCATAAAGGTATACAAGTATAATCTCTATTTTGTTTAAATAGAAGAATAAATAGGTTTGTTGAATAAAAATAATATAAAATATTTATATAATAATAATTAATATGTAAATGTTACAGAAATATACAGAATCGTATCACAAAAACAGATACGAGATCCACCAGAGGGAGATACAATTCGACCCCAAAATGTAGAACCTATTGATGTCAAGCCAACAATGAGTTCTGATGGAATGCGTAAACAGTGCTGTCAGTGACTTACCTTGCTGCTTAAAATGTGTGTATAGGCGAATGCAATACAAATATTCCAGAAGTATGATTGCTTAATTTTCAGTTATTGGAAAGAAAATTAGTGTACGGTCTTTATACAGTATCATAGTTTCAATATAATGAAAATATTGATTAGTTTATTATAAATTTTATGTTCATTTGTACGTCAAGTTTATCTCAACATATATCAAAATTAAACACTGCTGAATGTCTTTGTCGTGTTTTTGTAATGCACTATAAATGGAGGGTTGAAAAGGAATAATATATTAAAATGTACACTTGTAATAATGGTAGATTTTATTATACTACATCTAACATCATCTCCCAAATAAGAATAATTTTAACAAGACTTTGTATTATATTAGAAATTTAACATGTTAAATATAGAATTAAAATATTCACCAAGATATATATGGATTGTATTCACACGGTTCTTTTATAATTAATTAATTAGTATAATTTAATAGAGCCGTAAGACTCACTACTATTTTTTAAACAATTTACTGTATAAACTTTTATTTTATTATTATTTTAATTTTTAAAATTTAGATTTTAAATTAATATTACAATTTAATTTAATCAAATACTATTACAGAATACGATTATAATAAAATATTATTTTTCATTGTACTGTACAGATGATTTTTAACAGAATTTAATATTATTCTTTTTAAGATAAAAATTTAATGAAAATCATTGGGCTTATTTAGCAAAACTAAATATAAGTTCCATTTAAATCTTTTATATATTTTTTATTATTTTTAAATCTTTAACATCACACATTAATGCTTCACATTTTATATTTTCACAATGTTTTCAATGTTACAGAAGCAGTCTCAAGGAGGAAGAATGGAATAAGATACTGATGATAAATATGGCAAGTGCATAATGATTTAAGACTATATGCACAAGTCCATAATGTCATATGTTTGAAGAATTTGTAACCCCAACAACATCAGGGTATACTACTCATTGATGCTCATATGAGTATACATATTATGCATTCACAGAAATAGTTAAAAATGAAAAAAAAACAAGCATCACGGTTATGCATGATGCAGTAAAAGTGAATACATATGCATTATTCTGTCCTTAAATTTATCTTTAACCTGTCTGTTTTCATATTTTTGATCATATACGAGGTCTGTTCATGTAACAGAGAGAAACATATATAAATATTGTATATATAATTGTCGTGTATAATTAAATATAATATTATTTGATTCTTACTATATACAAAGAATAAAATCTCTATTATATGATAAACGTATGTTGCAGAAAAAGGAATTTATTTATGAAATAATATAAGAAACATGTTTCCCTTTAAACTAAAAGTTATGAAACATTATACTATAATATTATAATAAAATAATTTACTGGTTATAAGTTATTAAGAAATATGAAAAAATGGTAAAAACAGTAATGACGTCTTTTAATATGAATATTTTTTTCGTTAGAAAAAATTTCATTAAACCTATAGTGAGATGCACTTAAGGAACTACCTATCTTTCAATCTCTTTCTACCTCTCTCTTTCTCTTATTGAATTTGAATGAATAGTCCTCGTATATTGCATTTAACAAAAAAAGAGTTCTGTTTTTACTCAATTTAAAGATATTTCACTTTATATAACATATAGACATTATTGTGAGTATGTAAATAATTTATAATCATTTGCTTACAATGAAATAATGCAGTAAAATACAAAGTAAACTGCTAAGAATAGTGCATAATAGTAGATCAAAGCTTATAACAAAAAAAAAAAAACACTATATAAGAAAGAACGAAATATGAAATACAATTAAATTCTTTGAAATATTTTTCTGCTTTTATCATTTTATTTTATTATATTTTTGATTTGCAAGTATAATTATCATAGGTTTTGTCACCATATCGTCTTTAAAAAAAATGTAAATTTGCAAACATGTGACCTACACTTAATATATATATAATATATTGCACATTACACATATTTTTTCAGCATCGTTATTTTTATGAAAATAGCGGCAATTTAAAAGATATTTTCAAAAAATCATCTATTATATCTTTAAATAAATTTAAAGTATGTGAAATATTACAAGTATCAATATTTAAGCTTCAATATAATATAAAAAGATTGAAAAAAATTTTTAATTATTATTCCATAAGATATAGAATTTGTGCATCATACTAATGGAATATAAAATAATAAGTATCAAATGTGTATATGTTATAAGTAATTTTCAATTTACTTAATTTTCATTATAATATTATTTGTATAATTTTGTTATAAGCAAACTAAATATACATTTCTTAGCTGCCGTAATGGATAATAATTATAAGTAAGTATAACGATTTAATATAGTAATGTTTATCTTTGTATGACTAATTTATAGTTGTTAATAACCATATATATTTAAGGTAGCAACAATGTCTTAAATTACTATTATATATGTTCATATGTGTATTAAATGATATATCCTGTAGTTTTAGGCTCGTTATTATAAACTCATTACAAATCATTTTAAATTTATTTTATACCAAATAATTTTAAATTTATAATGCACACAAATTAAAAACATTCTTTTGCTATTAAAAGCTTGGTTGTTTCTCTAATTTTTATTTAAATTAATAAAAAAACTAATTATAAATTTTATTTAATACATTTTTAAAGCTGTATTAAGATTATCAATATTTAAATGACTTTACTTCTATATACATGTAAAGTTTTAAATAATAGATATTAAAAATTATATAAGTAATTATATAATTTAAATCTACTTTTTTAATGTAAATTTCATGTTAAATACATAATAATAATAAAAATATATAATATAATAAATATAATAATAATAAAAATAATCTCATTCATACTTGTAATAATTAAGTTATAAATCTCTTTTATAATATGATAGAGACTAGCACATTCAAAATAATTTATTTTTTTATTAAAATATATATGTTTAAACTTTAATAAAAATATCTTTTTGTATATATTTTCTAATAGGCAATAGTTTTGTTAATATGAAAATATTATGAGAGTATCGATCAAGGTTTATAATAATTACACATTAAATACTGTTTTAGATTTCTATATTTCCAAACATTAGTATATTCAGTAAATATAGAATATCAATAGTAAACAATAATTTTAACTTAAGTTATATATGTACAATTTAGTATCATAACCGATATTACATATGTTATTTGGTACTATTACGTTCATTCTGTATTAAATATACATCATGCTTAAATTCAAGTACTTTGTTAGCGTTATGTATTTGGAAAAATAGTTTTGCATGTTCAAAAGTTGCAATCATTATAGCACAAGCTGGTGCAACTTTTACTAAACGTGGAATTAAACCGGTATACAAACCTTTTATACCATTCTGATTATAAATTCTTTTTATTACAGTCATTGTAGTACTTCTACTACGACTAGGTTTATCTGTAATCACAATTATATTAATTACTTTAGACGAATGATGTATATTTTTTTAAAAAGTTGTACCTTTTTGTGTGCTGTATATTTAAAAAAAAGTTTCACTTTTTGTTTGTTTGCTGTATATACAAGAAAATAGTTATACTTTTTTGTTAAATATTCAGCACATACCTGAATATATTTCCTTCTCACCCATTTCTATTTGTCTGTGTGTTTTTACTACATCAAATGGTAGAGTGAATAATGCAGCTATCTTTAAATATAAAGAGAAAAAGATAATGAATTAACTTTAATTATATATGTTATTTATTTTTAATTAGAAATAATAATAAATTTAAACTTACAGATCCTGCCGTTGCTCCTGCAGCAAGATTAAAAGTAAAAGTTTGTGGTGAATCTCGGAATATTCGTTTTATAGTTTCATAATGAAACCAATAAATAGCACTAAAAGGTACATCTCGGAAAAGCGTTGATCCTAATCCCATCCATAAACCAGAAACACCACTGTGTCTAATAAGTATTTTTAATGCTTCAGTCATTTCTGTAGATATAAAACAAGTAATTGTACTCTAATAATATTTTATTATTATATACAAATATATATGTTACTTTTTCATTACCTGCATAGCTTAATTTCTGCGATTGCATTTTAGTTCTGATTAATTCTAATGGACTAACTAAAGCTGCTGCCCAAATGCGTGCTGTGCCTCCAGCTAACATAGGGATCCAAAAAGGCTGTTCTGCATTACTTACATTTTGTTTCAAATTTCTATTATATTTATCCTACAAATACCAAGCTTACAAAAATATCAATCATTATTTAAATATATATACATACTCGATTTATAACGTTTTTAAATTACTTTAAAATACATCTTCAATTGCTCGTATGATACAAAATATACTACGGTTGCAGGTACTGCTAATACAAGAGTTGGACTCAAACCACTCCATAAAGAAGTAATTCCTTCTCTTTTAGTTATTTTTATAAAAGCATCCTATAAATAAAACATTAATACTCATGTTAAGAAACTATTAAAATCTACGTACATTATTAAGATTTAATACAATTCAATTAATTATTTATACCACAGTGCCGGTAAATTTTTCATTAGGACTTTTTCCATTAATGCATTGACATAAATGATCCATTAATCCATTGCAATATAGGAAACATTTGTTAGAAATCGTAGCTTTCTGTTGAGCTTGTAAACGTGTTTTAACAACATCTAATGGGGTAACTGAAAAAAATATAGAAAATTTATTTTAGTATGCTTGGACAGATCCAATTTATGTAATAAAAATGAAAATAAATACAACAGAGAATACTAAATAACTATTATTAAATTACATACAAAATATTGTTTTTAAAAATAATTAACAATTGTTATTTATTAATTGCTCACTTACCAAATATAGAAGTTATAAGTGCACCTGTACAAGAAGCTATAATTTGTTGATATGGTCTAATACGAAACCTTGGATCATCTAAATTAATGTTAGTTGGTATATCTGGCACTTTTTCCATGATTGAACTTTATTTAAAATCACTTTAATAGAACTATATCTTCACTTAACCTATAGTTTATTATCATAACATCGATTAACAAATTTTCATATAAAAATGTTAATGAAATATACTAATGACTGATGAAATCTATTATTAAAAGTAAGAAACAATAACGTGTCATTTTCTTCATATATAAATTGCAATACTAATTTTTGAAACTCATTCAATCATTTATCTTAATAAACATTTTTCATTCCTACATATAAACTTTACAACTAATTAACCTAATAAATGCAGTTCTTTTTCTTTTTAATTTAAATATAGAGGATTGTCTTATAAAATAAAAAGAAAGAAAAATTGTAATTATTATTTAAAAATTATTTCTTACTTTCTTATAAAATAATGCAAAGAGAGTGGTAAAAAAGAGATAAAATACAGTTTGCCGCATTTTTGACTACTACACATCATAAACTATCTATTTCATAAGATTACCAAAAACATCATCTTGTATCTAGTCGAAATAGATGTGTTTTCAAATTTGTCCACGATTAATTTTTTTAAGTAATTAATTGAAGTACTGTTTTTAAAAATTCGTCTAATTTTGTCAATGACATAATATTTAATGACAATTTTATTTTGTTCTAAAATAAGACAAATTATTTAAATATCTATAATTGGATTTAATTGGATACATTTAATGACACAGGTATAGCAATATGGCACAATTGGCACGTAGACATTTCATAACCTTCACGACTACAATATATACTAATGTTTTTCAGTAAAATGATGTAAAAGTTTTTCATATTTTGACATATTAGATTAAACCTTCCAGTGTATAACAAATAATACAATGAATTTAAGTAAATCGGAGAAACTACTAGCTGCTAGAAAAAAGGTAATAAATAAAAATACCAAGAAATAATATTAGATTAAATATTGTAACATTTTATTCAAACATTTATATCTCATTAATATTATTTAACATATTGAACAACTTCGGATATTTTATTATTCATTCTTTTTCTATATCAAAATGTTAAATATATGATATATCATTAATTACAAATGTCACAAAATATTTCCTCTCATAAAAATAGTAAAGGAGAGACACAACGTTAAAATGGTTTTATTACAGTTTTATTTAATCTAATATTTCATGACAAGAGAACGTTAGCAATATGATGAGTCATTTAATTTTTTTAAATGTTTCACTTTCACAAACATTATCTTCTTTTTCTTTTATTTTGTTTTTGTTCTAGTTAAAAGAATTTCAACAGAATAAAAAAATTAATATACAAGAGGAACTGTCAAAAAATGAAAATGGGATTACTAAAGTGTCACAGCAGGTATTTTGGATACAAACGTTTATTATATATATATATATGTATATAAAATAATAATTAATAATGTTTTTATATTCTTTTATATTTGCTTGTTTATTAGAATGAAACTGTGGAAATAAACTCATATGCAAATCAATTAAGAAATGATCATAATGTTCCTACAAACAATACTTTGCAAAGTTTTACATTTCCAGTAGATAGTAAGGATTCTCATGTAAATACAGAAATGGTTAATTTTGTATCGATAAATGAGGATAAAATAAGTGTAAAGAAGGTAAATGAAGAAGATATTCCTAAACAAAATGCTAATATTGAAATGACAAATGTACCAGTATTATCCACAATGGATAACAGTCAAGTACAAAAGCAAACAATATTGGAATTCAACGAAAAAAACATTGATTATTTTAATACAAATAAAAATAAAAATGAAAATGATTATACTTCACAAAAAGATAATACAATAATAAACAAGTCTGAAGAAAGTACTGATAATAATAATAAATCGGAAACATTTGATTCTGACACATATTCTCAGAATTCGAATATAACTTATTTAGAGCATCAAAATCAAATAGTAAATCAATTACAAAGTCAAGTTAAACTATATGTAAGTATTCCTTTATTTTTATTAAACCATTTTTTTTATGTTCTGTGTTACACAGTGTATATAAATGCACAAATTTATAAATGGGACAGAGTAATAAAATTTCTGAACTACAAGCTGCACTTGCTGCCAAAGATGCAGAAGTTGAGACAAAGCTGATGGAAGAGACTAAGCAATTGAAGGAACAGTTGCAGATTCATGTACAAACAACTAATGTTTTAATTTTGGAAAAAGCAGAGCTTACTTCGGTTTTAAGTAAAAATGAAACAACTATTAAAAACAATAGAGGTTAGCATTGTATCGTCTTAGATATTTTCATATATAAGATGATCTGTGTTAAATAATATATATTTATATAAATTTAACGTATCTGTACATCTCTTTCTATGTACATACATGTTTCTAAATGTAAAGAAAATGATTTATTTTTTCTTGTTAATGTCATATTTCATTATTTAATTATAAATATACCTATTCATCTATAGAAGAGATCGAAGAATTATCTGAAAAATTGAAATATGCTCAATTTCGTTCATCTGAATTTGAAAAAGAATTAAATGTTATAAAAAATGATGCTGAGGAAGCTCGAAAAATTGCTCAACAAATGAAACTAGATCATGAAGAACTTAATGAAAAATATTCTGAACTAAAGTATGTGATTTATATTAATAGCATTTCATATGATTATTTTTTATTTGACCAAGAAGTTATATAAAATTGAGGCAAGAAAAATCTTTGTTAATAAATTTTGATAAATTTTTTGATAAAATTTAGTTTTACCGTTATAGGAAAGAAAAAGATGAACTGAATTTACAAGTATCAGAATTAAAACAGAAATTAAATGTCAAAAATAGCGAATTAATCAATGTACAACAGACTTTACAAGAAAAAGCTGCTTTACTTTCATTGAACGAATTGAAAATACAACAGGTAATTTCATTTTTACCTTTATTATAATTTATTTCACTGAACATTATTATAAATTTTGAGATGATCAAAAAATGTATTATTTCATATTAGCTCACAAATACATCTCAAGATTTAGAGGTGTTGGACAATCAACATCATAATGTAACTATGCTTGAACAACAAGTAGCACAAATGAGAGAAACTATTAAAACAGTGAGCGAAGAAAATGATGAAGCAAGTAAACAATATCAAAACTATGTACGTCAATTAGAAACGCAACAAGAAACACTGGTTAATGAAGTATGTTATGATTATTGTTTTTTTTCTTATTATATGTATTTTTTAAAAATTACCTTGAATAATTGTTACTTCATATTATTTAACTATAAACTCTATTTTATATATTATTTAACACTTATAGCTTGAACATCAAAAAAAATTAAATAACGAATTGGAAATTAGAGAAAAAAGTTATATAGAACGTTTATCAGATTTTGAACAAAAATTGCAATCGGAAAAAGAAAAGGTTGAAGAATTGCTTCCATTACAAAGTCACAAACATCATATAGATGCTTTATTAAAGGAAATTGATGAACTTACATTGGCACAAGAAAGATTTCATATTATTATAAACGAAAAAGTAAGATACAAAATTATACACTGTATTTATTAGTGTTTGATGTATTATTTTTATAAATGAATTGTATTAATTTTTTTTTTGTTAGGAAACAGAAATAGAAATTTTAAAAAAAGAACTACAACAATTACAAAATAATGAGAATCAAAGTACAGATGTACCAAAACTGCTTCAGGCTCTTGAGAGTGAACAACTTGGTGCATCTAGAGCAGTATCACAAAACCAACAGCTTAAACAACAATTAAATGAGATGCACGATGCTTTTATTATTCTTGTAAGTATTTTAATATAAATTATTCAGTATATATATGTATCAATTTATCTTAATTTAAAAAATTCTAACTAATCATAATTATTTAATATTTACAAATAGTATATAATCTAATTATTATATTCTTTTTTTAAATTACAACTTTCACACGCAGAGCAATACTAAATTAGATTTAACAGAGCAACTACAATCAGAACGTACTATTGGGAGGAAATTGAATTCAGAACTTAATAAAGTAGAGTCAGAGGTAGAATTTTTGAAAAATTGTTTGAAGGCGAAAGAAGAATCTTGTTTAGAATTGGAAAAAGAAAATTTACAGAATGCTCAAATTATTGATCAAATACATCATTATCAAGCTCAAGCACATTATACGCAAACATTACAGCAAGAACTTCACAAAGCCTTGGTATTTAGCTTTACTAATATAAATTTATTTTGTTTTTAATAAAATATATATAATTTTTAATTATTTTATATACATATAAAAAATAATAATAATAATAAAAATTATAATATATATATATATATATATATGTAATTATAGACGACTATTGATGATTTAAAGAGGGAAAATGAAAAGCTCGTTGAAGAATTGAATCATGGTAAAACTGAAAAGGAAAATAATGGGGTAGATGAATTAAATTTAACTAATGAAGTATTAGGAAATAATAATGATAACGTTGATAAAGATATTCTTAATACTAGAGAAACTAAAACTATATCATGTTATACTATGACTGACTCGACTTCGTTAGAACCTTTACAGAAATTAGAGGAAAGATTCAAGGAAACGATGGAAAAACTTGCTGAGGTACTCGATGAAAAACAAAGATTAGAACATTTGGTTTTACAGCTTCAATGTGAAACGGAGACAATAGGTATGCTAATCATACAATTTTAATTTAACTTGTATGTTATTTAAATTCATTTCACAAAAAAGAAACCATTTAGAATTGTGTTTGAAGGGTATTCTATGCAAAAATACATATACATTTTTATCTATAATTTTGCTTATTCATTTTTATCCGTAATTTATATACAGGTGAATATATTGCATTGTATCAAAGGCAACGTGCTATTTTGCAAGAAAGAGCAAAAGAAAAAAATGAAGCTTTCCGTCAACTTATAGAACAAAAAAATGAACAACAAGAACAATTGCATAAACTAAAAGAATTAGTAACAAATTTGATAACAAAAAAATCCATTGCAACAGACAATACAGGGCTTTATATTTCTGATCATAAAGGTATGTTAATTAAAAGATAAAATCATAATATATAATTACCTGATATAATAAGTAGATATTTATTTGTATAGAAGAAAATGCAGACATAATAACATCGGAAAACAAGCAAGAAAATCATAATGTTATATCAGAAATATCAAATGATGAAACAACGTCTCAAATTATTGATCTTTTAACAGAAATTAAAGATTGTAAAGATCAATGTACAATTGCATCGAATTTTCACCCATGCCCATGGTGTTCAGGAAAACTTATCAATGTATGATTATTCAAATAAGAAGATATATCTTTTAATAAATAATATAATATATATATATATACTTAATTAACTAATATTAAACAATGTGTTTAGTGTATATAAAGATATTAATAATTTTTGGACTTATTCATGAAAATAAAAATAAAAATAGAGTACATTTAAAAACAATTCTCTTGACAACAAAATTCTGTTATTGTTACTTTTTTATCAAATAAATCACGATATAATAAAGATTAAAATAGGGCGAATAAATGTATCGTAATAATATGACATTCAAGGTAAAGTACAAAGAGAAAGAAAAATGAACAAATAATAAATTGTTATTTTTATGTTTTATTTATATGTAAAAACAATACATATTATTCCTTTAGAGCATATTTCCTTTGAGGATATATAGACTGTTTGCGAATCGCTTTCAATGTTTTTTTGCCAGCTTGATAAGGCGTTAACTTGCGGCGTATTGCTCTGGTTTTCTTTGGCCTTAAATCTAATGGTTTGTATTTGTTATTTCTGAACAGCAGACGAAGATTTTCTTTTTGCTTTTGGTGCATAATAATATATACACGAGCAATAGCTTTCCTCACAACACGGCTATAAGAAAGTGAAACATTGTATTAATTATTATTTATAAACACTGATGATAAATTTTAATTTTGTTAACAAATAAGTATAAAAATATTTCTTGTTTATAATAAAACTTACATTTTAGATAATTTTGAAGCAGCTCCTCCGGTTACTTTAGCTACTCTCAAGCTAGTAAGCTCTGTCTTCAACTCATCAAGTTGCTTTAGCAACTCCTTCTTATCTTTAGTCCTTAAATCAGAACACTTAACTTTCCCCTGAAACAATTAAAAATATTTTATATATTTTAACATTTTTGATAATTCTCGAAGAAAATACAAACAATTATTATTATATTATTAGATTAAATAAGCCGTTTATTTTGAAAGTGCTATATTTATGTTCAAATCGAGATATTAAAGATATGATGATTTTGAATATATTAGCAACAAATTGCTTCAAAATGAAAAGATCATGTAAAAATTTAATTATTACGAGTTAGACCACTTTCAAAATAAACGGCTCAAATAATCAATTATTATCAAATAAATGTAAAACATATATTATTATTTTTATAACATTTTGAAAGGTTATACTAAGAAATAGGTTATCTAAAAAATAGGTTATACTAAAAAAGATATTACTAAGAAAAATAACAAAAAATATATAATTTTATTCAATATAATTTTATAAGGAGTAACGTTTTTGATATATTTGAATAAAATTTCATAATGATGGCACAAATAAATAAAGATTAAAATTTAACATTTTAACTTACCATGATGTTTCTTTGTACGGGAAATACAAAAAGGTTGAAATGTGAATCGATCACTGTGTGAATGTACCAATTATGGGTACCAATAGGTGAAGCAACTATATTGATAAAAGTCCCTAGTTACACCTAACTAATGCATTTCACTGCTGTTAAAGTGCAGGTCGATCGCCAAGTTGTATTATTAGTATTGCTTAGGTTGTCTAAACTGTTTTTATGGTTGTATTTTAGGTTATCTAAACTGTAATATATTTGACAAACAAGGAAAAATTATAAGATAACCTATTTGTTTATAAGAAACTGAATGAAAGTGTGCAACTTATGTTTAATAAAGAATATAAACATTTTAAATAATTTTTATTGTTCAATATGCCTCTTATTATGGAAATTTTATCACATAAAACTAGACTAGGGTTATATATAACGAGAACATTGAGTATATATTACATATATATTATAATTTAATATTTTATATTTTAATTAATAGTAAATAAAGTCTAGTGATAATTAATTTCATTTTTTAAAGGGTTATGTTGTTTAGATTATTAGAAAACAACTCAATAAATGCATGAAACAAAAATAACATTAATTATTAGACTTAATATATTGTTACATATTTATACATATAACAATTTTAAACTTTGTCATTTTGGTTATTAAAGATTTTGCTGTCTATTAAATAATTTTTTATTAAAAGATATATTTCTAATTTATATATTTTCTTTCTTGTAGCAAAGGAAATACAACGATGTTTTTCATCAGTATCAACGCAAAATTTGGAAAAGGATAACCAGAACACAACAAGTGTAAATCCAGATTTAAAAGATGATAGGACAATTCCATTAAACTATAGATTCATTTATCCAGAATTTCTGCCTGATCCAAATCCACGATATCGTAACCATCTCAGAGAAAAATTAGAACGTATGGATATGATTGCAAGAAGAACTCAGATAGATGTACCTGAATTCTACGTTGGGTCAATATTAGCTGTAACATATACCGAACCACATGCGCCTGGAAAAGTAAATAAATTTGTTGGAATATGTATAAGTAGAAAAGGTTGCGGATTAAGAGCGTCATTTCTTCTAAGGAATGTAATAGATAATCAAGGCATTGAAGTTTCTTTTGATATATATGATCCATCTCTTCAAAAAATCGACTGTTTAAGGTAAATAATTAAATATGTATATTAATATAATATTTTATTTTATTCGAAATATTAATGTTCGCTACTAATGTCATATATCTGTGACACTGTTTTCTATTAAAAGACCGGTGTCATATATTTGTAATAGTAATCAACAAAATAAGTTAATTAAAACAAATAAGTTTTAGGATATGATTGAAATCTCTTTTCCACATTATTTTAGTGAATGTATTAATAAATAATTAATTTTATAAATATTTCTATTTTAGACTCGAAAAAAGATTAGATAATGAATTATTTTATTTACGAGACGCTCCATTAGAATATAGTACTTTTCCATTTGATATGGAAACCGAATTATTACCAGAAGGTTCTTCTGTTCCTGTTAATGATATTATAGTACCGCTTAATCCACAACCATGGCTAGAAAGATGGGAACAAAAAGAGTTAAAAGGTATTAAAAATATAAAGATTAGTCAAAATAGACGGAAGAAAGCTAAAGCAAATGCTAAGCCTTGGGAAAAATATGATCTTATGAAAGCTTATAGGTAAGCAAGAAAAAAATATATACTTATAGAAACTGTTGTACAAATTTTATAATACATTTTTAATCTTCAAATTTTTTATTTTGTATAATTAGAGAAACAATTCCTGAAGAAGAACAAAATGATATATTTGCAGAAGTGCAATCAAATCTTCGCGATTTAGAAATAGTTCGATATAAACAAAAATATACACGTACTTTTGTACGTCCTAAAAAAAGTGGATAAATTTTGTTATTAAACATATGTTTAATTAGGAAATAAAACTATGATATTTTGTCAGTATGGATAAAAAGTTTTCTTTAATTATTTTCAATAGTTGTCTCTCCAAATATTTTTTATTAATTGAGTACAATAATTAATAATTTTGATGCATACATTATAATGTCATATGTATCACAGTGTAATATTAATAATAGTATTTGATAGAAATAACAGGTTCATATGTTTGAACTTTCTTTAAGTTTAATGTTACTAATCTGATTTTATTCTACATCATAATTTTATTAATATTCAATAATTATAATAATTATTATAAATTACCATAACTTAAAATTTTTAAAAAGGGAAATGTTTATAGATAAAATATCCTTATTAATTGTTATCATCAAATATTTACTATTCTTATTTGTAATGTAAAATACACACATGAAAGACAAGAATATATTATTCAAAATGCATTTATATTTAAAAGTATACTAATTCTATTTACAATTACTATATATTTTATCTTATAAATGATTTATATATGTACAGGCCAATAATAACTATTTATATTTAAATTTAGAGAAGTTATATGATCATTTCATTTGCATTAATTATATATATTGTGCAATATATATATATATATATATATATTAATATTTTTTGTATATTATATTACTTCACATCGTATTCTTATTACAGTTATTGCTTTTTAAAACAGTTTACAGAAGTCGAAACTGTTTACAAACTGCATGTATATATATTATACTTGGCTATACCCACGTTTTATGTAAATGGTTTATTTTTGTTATTTTTGTCCTTAATTATTTAGCGTAAGAATGAGTCAATTAAGATTAGCTACCCGAATTACTTTTTCAATTATAGTGTCAGGAAAAAATGTTTAAAGTAAAATAATTAGGTATTCAGAAGCCAGTAGTGCTATGGGAAACATTTTTTTTGGTAAGGGCGCATAGAAAACTTGGAAGTCACCATCATTTTTTTAAATGAAATTGTGCCTTTTTAACCCTTATAATTATAGCCCTTTTCCAAAATAAATTCAATAGTCATCTGTATTCGAGGTCTTGGGCATACAAAAGTAGAAAAATTAAAATTTATCATAGATATTTCCTGAACAGAATACTTGCTGTATATTTTTTATATTTTGTTCTTAATAATAAGAATTTATGTTTATTCGGAAATGAAAAATTTACAATAGAAATGATAAAATTCAAATAATTAATTTTCAATACAATATCATTATAATATAAAAATTAAGCTTTTTTTTAGCATAACATACATAAAAAAAAACAATGAATTTTTTTCTATTAATAAAAATAAAATTGGTGAAAGTATAACTAACTAGTTAATAAAGCTACGTTAATTTCTTTAACCATTTTAACGCGATATAACATTTTTATCAAGTGTTCCTTGGCAAGTGGTGAAGTCGAATACCATACTGGACTATCGGGTACACAACTTCTTTCTGGTAATAAATAGAATACATCGTTGCGTGTTTTAACACTTTCCGGACTGAAATAATAGATATTAAAATATATAATATGAAATTATAAAAACGGTTAAGTCTCATTCGAAGATTTATGCCTCCATATATAATTCTAATATTATAATAAAAAATACATACCACTTAGATAAATAAAATTCATATAGTTTGACAGGACATCTTAAAGGGTTTTCTTCATTTTCTTGTTGTTCGTAAACTTTCTTTTTGCGTGAATTAGCTTCTAAAAATAAATTTTAACAATGAAGCATCTGAGAACATTGTGTTTACATTTATACAAAAGTTCTTTATCGTATAATTTTTAATAATCAATTAAATAATGCTGTATGTATACAAATATTTCCATATGTCTTATACATACCTAGAGCTGACTGCGGAGGATAAAATCTTAAAAGTACATTCCTTGAACCTGGAGCTTTTCCGGCAACTGTAGCAGGTTGTGCTGCTGGATTTCGTTTCCAATGTTTCATTATGTGAGAAAAGGATAGTTGCATATGTTCTTCTACAGTCTATAAATAAATTATTTTATATAGCATTCTGAAATTATAGTATATTTTATAACAGTTGTATGTATAAACTTACCACAAGATTAAAATGTTTAGTGTTAAAAAACATAAGTGTACTTAAAAGTACATGTGGTGAGTGTGCACCTAATTGTTTACATTCCCAAAGATGTTCTTCCTCTACTCTTGTTACAATATATTCTGCAGCAAATATTAATAAATTTTTATAATATTGTTAGACAATAAAATCTAATAGGAATTTTTTGTATAGTATGATTATATACTTTTTCTAAATAATATGTTTATAATTATAATTAAAATATTCTTACGTGTATCACTATAAAGAGCAGAAAATTTCTTAGCAACCTCGTTTAAGCAATCTGTGAATTTTTCGTAATATGAATCTGTGAAAATACTATCTATTCTATTATTTTCAAATAAATATTGCTGTATTCCTAAAACAAAAACACAATTAGGCATACTTAGTATGTTACTAAGTTTGTACTTATTCATATATAATTAAAACAAATGCTTAATAAAATTAAAAACTATTTAATATATGTATTATTAGTTGACATTAGGAACTCGAAAGTTCATATATATATATATATGTATATATTAATTTACCCAAACAAAGGTAGTATATTGTATCAGGAGCATACTCGGCACCATTTGGTTTTCTTACTTCTTTTACAAAAAGACACAGTGAGTAATTCAACTCATCTGCTGTAAGTTGTAAAAGATCTGTTTTAAACAGTTTCATTTTCCTTAATGGTGTACTTTGTTTTTCTAATTCTGCATTTTTTGCTACTACCTGTTTGAACAAAAATGTAGAAAGAAATTTACACATGTACAGTTAATAAGTTTAATTTAATGTAATATTACAAAAATTACCCATTGTCGCCAAGCATTAACTCCAAATGTATATTTTAAAGTCATATTTGCATCCGGCTTTTCAATAGGTTCCATAATTCTTGGTTGAGGTGGTGGCTGAGGTTCCGGAGGTGGTATGAGTGGTATATCATTAGCAGCAGAAACACGTCTACTTTTCTTATTTGGAGTAGGTCGAGATTTATATGGAACTACTCGTTTTCTGCCACGGGAAGATATTGAACGTTCTATTGGAACTATAATACGTACAATATTATTTTATATTATTTATCTCAACTTCTTATTTTAAGTTCACAATTTTAGTAATAGGAAACTATGTTTTCAATGTAACTTATTAGTTACCAAGACCATTTTCTCCCGATCGAAAGTGCGTAGTTAATTTAAAAATCATCGTTATTGTTTTTAACACTTTGACTGCCGTGCGTGTTTACAGAACAGGCACAGGCCCAATCAGAAAATTTACTGTCACCCGAATATGGGTGACGTGGCAGTCAAAGTGTTAACACTTTTGACAGTTGACTTATCCTGTATACGAGATTCCGAAATAAATAATGTATCTTTGATATACCATCGTTATCTAAAGGTGCTTCAGATTGTGCTGGAGTTGGAGTTGCTGTTATTGTATTTGGAGTTAAAGCAGCTTCTAGGTCAACTGCTGGTTCATCCAATTCTCCAGTAGCCATTTTTAATGCCATTTGTAACATATCACCAAAAGTATTGTTAGAATCGACACCATCTGGATTAAAACCATCACTATGCGTATTATCATGATCACCTCCATCGTCATCTCTAAAAAAAAATGATCCGAACTGAGATTTACTTAAATATTAAATAAAAATCCATTTTTTTATTGGATATTATTTTACTATTCTATAAAAAATTTTTTTTATATCTTTACCTCTCTTCTACAGAATCAGAATCAGTCTCATTATTTTTTTTTTCTGTAGCTACCATTTCAGCCATCATAAGAAGTTCAGCTTCAAAAGGATCAGCTGGTATTTTTTCTTGTATCCTTTTAATGTCTTTAAAAATTCCTTTAGCACTATTTCTTGTTGTAGGTATAAAAACTGGAACAGGTATAGGCAATGGAAAAGGTAATGGTATTGGAAAAGGCATACTAAACATATGTACAGGATATGGAACATATATTGGTACTGGTATCGGAATAACCATTTGTTGAGTTTCTTCTGTTTGTGTCGACTTATTGCAAGGGTGTGGACGTACAGAAACACCTTTTGTATGCGTTAAAGGTTTGCATTGGGTAATTTTATTATGAATATTTGCTGGACTATGCGGTCTTGTGATAATCTGTTGCTTATAAATGATTTGTGGCACTTGATTTTGAACTGTTGCATTTACGTTATTTTGTGTAGCAGATGAATTAGCTTGTCCATTTCCTATTGTCGCTAAACTTGTTACCGAAGATATAACTGGCAAATTTTTTTTATTTTGTATTTCATTTACTTTTGATGTACTCTGATTTGTAGTCCTTTGTGGCATTGTTCGCTTTGGCATCCCTGTCGGAACAGGATCATCACTTGATGGTATTGTTATCGGAGATTTTGTATATTGAGATTGGAAATTCATAACACAATTGTATGAACAAAAATTACGTATTGTTGCATCTGACATTGTTAAATGATATTGTGCTTGAGAAAATTCTTTGCAAAAGTCACAATTTATACGTTTTGCTGATACAGCATTAATAGATACCTGTAAAATTAGCGATTGAAACAAATTTTAAATAACATATTATAACATATACAGTAGAAATTGAGACAAGAAAATAGATCATACCTGGTATAATGTTAAACAATTTAAACTACACATCATCATAAGTTGCCCATTTTTTAATTCTTTTTTGATCATGTCAAAATTATATTTTTTTACTTTGCACCAATTACAAGGTACTATTTTTCTATTAGTAATTATAAATATATTTAAACATGTCTTGTTACAAAATGTATGGGCTTCATTTTCATAAAAGATAACAAAACTTTTCTTATTTTGTAATTCGAAAAATTGTTTGCAAGTAGAACATTGGTCTGGATCAACTTTGTTTACAAACTTAAATGCTGCAAAACACGGCTCACTACATATAGCTACTGGATCAGCTCTATCTAATTGAACTTCACAATGTACAAGTTTTTCCTGTAATAAAAATAATAAAAGTATATTATGCTGTATTATTATATGATAAATATCACTTATATTATAGTTCCATATAATTTTGCAAATATATATGCTTACCTCTTGGCAAACACTACAAGATTTCTTTTCTATATTAGGAAGCTCAGTAGAGCTCATTTTTGAATATTTTTCCATGCAGTTTTGGGTACAAAAATCTTTAAACTGTCCTTTATCACCTACAGGAGCTAAAAAACCTTCTACACCTGAACTTATATCTTTTTGACAGTAACTACATACTTTCAAACCTTTTTTAAACTCTTCTAAACAGGTAGAGCAACAGAATTGCCTGACATCATAACCAAAACGTACACAATATTTTCCTAAACTTACTGCTTGAACAGAACCATTGCAATTTCTACAATAGCTTCCGTATTTGTTTTGAAATTTTCCTAAGCACTCTTCATTACAAAATTCCATTGTTTCCCATGAAAGATTTTTTTCATCATTCGATTCAATAATTAATAAGCAATTTGCACAGCGTTTATCTCTTTTTGAATTAACCGTATCACTTGGTATGTCAGTTGCTTTATTATTAGCAGAGTTAAATAATGTTTTGCATGTTTTAGAACATACATTAAAAGTATCAGTACCAATCTTTACTTTAAATTTGCATGATGTTTCTTCATTACACTGTTTGCATTTATGTTTCAATAAGATTTCTTCTATTTCAGAATTTTTAGATTCATCATCGAGATTTATAACATCAGCAGTTACTGGCACATTTTTTTCTACATCTACATGCTCTTCTTGCATACTTTGTAGTTGCTCTTTATTAGTATTACTTTCTATCGTAGCTTTTTCTTCATTGTTTACTGTATTATTTTCAATATTTTCATTAACTAATTTTTGTCCTTCTTCTTGAATAACAACTTCATCCAATGTGGATTTATTTTTATCGTTATTTTCTTTTTCTGTTACTGTTTCTGGTACTATCATTTTCATACTATCTGGAATAATACACAATTCATCATCTTGTCCAGGCAATATATTAGATTGTTCTTCTTCTGTTTCTATCGTTGTTTCACCTTCTGCATCCTTCTTTACATTTTTATTACACTCATTAATAGATTCTGCAGTATCTGTTAACAATATGTCTACCTCTGATAGAATATTTTTATTTTCTGCATTAATTGTTATAGATGAATCTAACTTATCTGGCATAGATTCAAAACATTTTTTTGAAATAGTTGAGTGATCTACATTATCCAGAGAAATCTTATCTCTTTCATCCTCTTGTAATGAATTCACTTTGTTACTATTATTTAATTTGGTATTAAAATCAATATTCTGAAGAATATCGCCTTGTTCGCACAGCTTTGAAAAATCAACATTTGTTTCCAAAGGACTATCTACATCCATTGACTCAACATTTTCAGAAGTCAAATTGTCTCCAGCAAAAGGATCTTCTGCATCTATAGATTGATTTTCAATTTGCGAATCACCATGTTTATCTTGTGAAAATTGTACAAATTCAGTGTTTTCTGGTACAGATACATTTTTATCAGAAGTTCCCTGATCTATATTTGAAACATCAATATCTTCTTGTACAACATTTAAGTTTTTATTTTTTGTATCTGTATTATTCGAAGTTAATTCTGTACTATTCATACTTATTGCAGATTCTTGCACTATTACATCAGCTGCATCTGCTGTGTTTACATTTTCTTCTAAATATCGATCTTCAATGGTCTTTAGATTAGTATTTTGTGATGTTGTTTCCTCTAGATCATTAATACTTTGTTCATTTATTAAATTATTAGTTTCTAATTGTTCATTTGAAATTTCGGTTGAGACATTGGCATCAGGAATTGCTAGACTGATAGTTTCTTTATTTGTAAGAGACTTATCCATATGTTTATCAGTAATTTCTGAAGTAGATTCCTGTATTTTTATATTATGTTCTTCAGAAATTTTATCTGCACATATGTTTGAATCACTTATAGTTTCTTTCATATTTGTGTTTTCGATATTTGATTTTGTTGTATCAATAATTATATCCTTATCACTATTTATTTTATTCGATTGAGTACTTTCACTAACATTTTCTTCATTAGCTTCTGTAATTTCACACATCGATTTTTCTGTGGAATTTTCATTTTTATTATCAATCTTTATACTAGTATCATTTTGTACTGAAGATAGTACATTAGATGTTTCAGTTGATGTCATGTCAATATTTAAATCCATTATTACAAATAGTCATAAAAATTGTCTTTTTATATATCTATAATGAGAGACAAATTAAAGTTTGAAAATACATAAAATTACCTGGAATTAAGATTTATTTGTATATAAAAGGATTTATATTTTACTTACTGTAAAAACTTATATATTGTTGTAATTAATATCCATCTTGCATTATATTAGATATAGTTATTATTGTTGTACAAATACCTCTTGACCAATTTAGTTAATATTAATATCCTCATACATATGTGTTATACCATTTTTAGTCATTATCGTTACGTTCCATTGAAATAATAAATTAATAATTAGATATTAATTAATATCATATATTACGCACTTTATGTACATGTATACTATTTATTCATTTCGTCTCTTAAGTAACAGACAAAGCAATAAGGAATGACGACGAAAAACAAGTGCTGTGAAACATAAAAAGATATATTAATTAAATGAAAATATGACAACATTTAAAGAAAATTGAAAGTATTGTATTATTCACATTTAAAAACACGTGGCTTTGTTTATATTTATATAATTAATTAAATATTGATTTATTCGCTATCGTATTGTTTTGTTCAACATAATCAATTAAGGTTAGGATTATAAAGACAACTTGAACGCCATATTGTATTCAATACTTACAATCTTCTAGAGTATAATTTAGGAACTCTCCATATTATTTTTAAATATACCAATATTTTTCATAATATAATATAAAATAATTTTTCATACGTTATTTTATTATTAGATAAATAAAAATTAATGATAAATATTTCTCTTTTTAATTATAATCTTTTTTCTCTTTTTCAGAACTTTATTCACATTTCGTGAATTTTACATTGAAAAAAGAAAATACACTTCAAACGGTAAGAATATCAAATAATTATATTAAAGAAAAATCACCTTTTATTATTCACAAGAAAAACACATTCTATCTTTTTCGACTTGGATTTGCATAAATAACTTAAATATACAAATGTTATAGCTAGGGCAACAATCGTGGCGGCAAACTATGTATACATGCAACTACCAACCATTTCATATGTCATTTTTAACCGGTATTCCTAAATAACAACAGTTGGTAAGAGTCCAATTATAGAAAAAGATTTTTATCATATTAATATTATACAAGCATGTATATCAAGTTTAAATGTTTATCAACAATAACACAAAAATACTAATTATTTCGTTTTCATAAAATTCAAATCAATCATTATGATTTATCCAAGAAACTAGATTTGTTTTATAAATTTTGAACAATAGTTTGTTCGAAAATTATACTGATGATTATAAATTACTAAATTAAAACTTCGTTTTCTAAAAACAATTTTTTATATAAATAACATTTAATTTAAATTTTAAACCAATTAGAGGAGAGAGAGAGAGAGAGAGAGAGAGAGAGAGAGAGAGTAGAGAGATAGGAGGAGAGACAATGTTCTCATTGAGCGTAAATAATTTAAATTCATTATTTTTTATCAATAAAATTCACTAAGATATTTTTCTTTTTTTACTAAATTGTTACTATTAAATTATTATTATTGAGATATAAGAATATTAAAAAATATAATTTTAATTTTAAATTAAAAAATCATTTTTTGTTATTATCAATATTCAGGAAGAAGAAAAAAAAACAGAAGATTGTATATAATACATGAATCATGTATATATCATATATATATATCATATGAATGATAAGGCTCTGAAGCTTTAACGCATGCGCGGTAAAGCGTAATTGTGCATTCACTTCGGTTAAATACTTACATATGTGTAAATGGATCTTAAATGCTTATGTGTTATGTATATATTAACTCTTTAACTACCAGATATTACATTGAGATAGGAAATAGCGATACAGTATAGACTGATATATTCAGAGGGCAGAGTATAAGCCCTTGATAAGATATAAAGTGTGAGTTTGTGAACGGTCTTAAGGGTTTTGGGAGGAGACAAGAAAAGGGCTACTGCGTGATTGAACGGCTGTACGTTTGATTTGAAATTTTCAGAGCAATTCTCAAGATCCCATAAAAACGGTTGTTCTGCAGCATATGTGAATTTATTCGTATCTAAATATTTGCTGGTATTTACACGCGACTCTCGGAGAACGCGTCGTTAATCATTGTACAGTGGAAGCTTGAGAAAATGGCCGACAATTGGACACATAATAGTATTGTTTGCCGGTAAGATGTGAACTTATATTTTCAAAAACTATATTAACTCTCATCGATAATTACATCAAATTATTATGAACTATCTTAGCATTTTTAAATTAATTGTCCTATTTAAGAAATATTAAATATATGTAATATGTAAACAAGTTAATGTAAATATTGACACAATTCCTTAAACTGTTTACAACCGTGAAATTTAAATCTGTTAAATTATTAAACTAAGATAGCAGTTCATTTCAATTACGAAATGTCCTTTAACTTATGTTAATAAATATGTTTTTTTTTATTAGTTAGAAAAATATCTATATGTTTAGACATTAGTTAAATAGTTAATCAAACTTACAAAATAAATTATAGAGTACCAAATTATTAAATTTTAATGACTTCAATATCATACTTATATTAATTTTAATGTGTATATTTATATTAATCTCTTGTATCTATGTTACATTTAGGTTTTTTAAAAATGGCTTGTGCCGTGGAGGAAGTAATTGCCGTTATCGTCATGTTCAATCTACTCGTCATGAACCAGGAACTCTTGAAACAGAAATATTACCCACTATTCCATCCAATACTACTTGTCGCTTTTTTAAATATGGCACGTGCAAGTATGGTAGTCAGTGTCATTTTCTTCATGACTCTGAACCTGCCGATAACGCTTGTATACAAAACAATTTACGAGAAAGTTCTTCGTTAAAGCAACGTACTGTCAGTACTACAACTTCAATGGAGTTAAAAAATACGTATGTAACATATACTGTATTATGTAACCATTATATTTAAAAAGTATTCTCCTATTTGATCTTTCAGATAATAAAGCACAGATCTTAATATCTTATTGATAATAATTGAAAACGTTTAACACGTTAAGCCTAACCTATAAAGACTTTAAGTAGAAAACACATTACCTTTAGAAAATAAATTTTATTGAAATAGTTTTTTTCCATTAGAAAATAATAAGGATATCAGAATTATTTATATTTGCAGCATGGGAAGTATTCATGTGGCTGAAGAATGGGTTAAAGCTCCTGAATTTATACCATCGACTATCTCATCAGTTGCTGGTTCTTCTACATCCAACAACGAAATGTTTAATACTTCAGGAACTTCAACTGGTACATCCAAACCTCTTACATATGCTCAAGCTGTAAGTCCATCGGGTCAAGCTTTTGATCCTTCGTTGCAACCTCTTTGTCCATATGCCGAAGCTACAGGGATTTGTAAAAGACCCAACTGCACATATTTGCATGGAAATATTTGTGAACTGTGTGGTCGTGCAGCTCTTCATCCATATAATGAAGAATTTCGGAAAAAGCATACAAATGTAAGTGTCTATTTATAAGTTTTTAAGTAATTTATAAGAACGGGAAAAGACCACTGGATAGACCGAGACGTAGATAGGAGAACAATATTAGAAGGGATCTTAAAAAAATAGGCTACGAAGATTGCGAATAGAAGGGTCCTGCTCAGGGACAGGAACACTAGCTGGATTTAGTATTTGCGGCAATTAACTTTTGAGCTTTTAACGCCAATTAATAATAATAATAATCTATTAACATATTAGAGTATATTTGGTAATAACAAGCTAGCACATGTAAAGTAATATCTAACTGATTTGTAACCAAATATTTTGTCATGGAATATTAATTTTTGTATAGGCATGTGTTAAACAACATGAAGTTGACATGGAATTATCATTTGCTATTCAACGTAGCAGAGAAAAGTCTTGTGGCGTCTGTTTTGAAACAATAATGGAAAAGTCATCACGCGAACAAAGGTTTGGTATTTTGCCAAACTGTAATCATTGTTTTTGTTTAACCTGCATTAGAAAATGGAGACAAGCTAAGCAATTTGATAATAAAATAATAAGAGCTTGTCCAGAATGTCGTGTCACTTCTGATTTTGTATGCCCTAGTATGTATTGGGTTGATACAAAAGAAGAAAAAGAAAAATTGATAACGGATTATAAAGATGCATTAAGGTAAGAGGAATAAAAAAATATATTTTATATTATTTTCTTCTCTTTCTAAATATATAATAAAATTTACTTATTGCAGTACTAAAGATTGCAAATACTTCAACAAAGGTCGTGGGAAATGTCCATTTGGTAATAAATGCTTTTATCTACACGCTTTACCAGATGGTACTAAAACAGACGTTGGTCCACCTATTCGTCAACGTCGTAATCCTGATAGTGATGCTGATATTATACAAGTAAGTATAATTTATTATGTAATATATTAACCAATTAACTGAGTTTGATAAGTATACTCGTCATGGAGAAGTGGCAGAATTTTGTATCATGACTGGTATACTTGTCATGTGTCGAAAATGCAAAAAAAAATTAAATTAACTATATAATGATATTCATACTAACCAACTAGAACTATTGTTTTTTTTTTTATTTAAGTATAAAAATTACAGTTCGTCCCATTTTTGGGACATTGGTTGAATGTACTATGGTATACTAAGAAAACAAAAATTAAAGTATATATTCGTCTTATTCAGTTTTCTTGAAAGTAATAAAAAAATAATGTTTATGGTATATGAAAATATTGAAAATATTTGTCGTGAAACGAAATATTACATTTTGCGCATATTCTTGTTGTTTTTTTTCCCACAAGATGCACACTTTCGCTGTATGTCTATTGGTTTTATGAGATGATCTATTTTATTGAGAATATAGTATTAAATGTAGTGAGAATATCGTATGAAATATATTTTATTGAGAATATATTTTTACAAAATATTCTAAACATCTTGAAATTTAAGAATATGTTTCGTTTTTCACAAAAATTACAATTTAAATAGCCAATGGTCACTACTATTGAATGCATGTCATGAGATACAAAATCCTGCCATTTCTTCATGTCGAGTATATTCGTCAAACTCAGTTAATTGGTTTTAATTATTGAATTAATGATGTTAAATTATTACGTAAGCTTCTAATTGTAAAATTGAATTTATTTCTCATAGCAATTGATCTTATGGAACTTCCTTGAAGGCAGAGATGAAAACTTGATGTATATAGATTTTGAAGATTTTGCACCAATTTTTTCAGACTCGGATGAATCTGATTGGTCTGAATACGAAGTAGCATTGTAGTTGTGCTAAGTGTGCTAGTTGACTGTTGTAGCACTGCTTTGATACTACTGTTATCACTGCCGTTGTTGCTGCTACTAGTACTATTCATTCATTTGTCATGTTCTAGTGGTTCCAGCAGCGGAATGAATCAATAGTATTCAAATTGTTTGAGTGATTATATTAAAAAACATCCCAGCTTCATTTCACCTTTTGTACGTGTGTTACAAATAATGATAATCACATAAGATCAATACGTGATTATAAGCTTGGTAATTTGAATAAGTACTACAAATAGTTGGTCATACAAAGTTTTAGATTTATAGCAATAGAACGTACTTATTAAATATCCCATTACCTGTGAAATCATTTCTTTTTCACGTTTTAACTAATTCTACTGCAGTTAATGATTGATTATAAATATTCTAATTGAATCGTACGTCAGAATACTTAATCCTTTCAATGCTGAAATTTTTAATGACACGCACATGCTATGCGCTGTCCACTTACTGTGATAAAACACACTGGACTGAATACTTTTTTACTTTTTATGTGTGTGGCTCTGTCGGTATCGTACACTATATTATTTCACACTATTGTTGTACTGGAAAATATTCAATAGAAATATTTGTTTAACATTTGTTAATAACGTGGCCGAATTTACTTCTACATTAAAACTACAATTAGATACATAAATAATTATAAAATGTATACGTATTAGTAGTATACTATTCTCTGGTACATTTATATTTCAATAAATTATACGGGTTCGAAATAATATAAA